GATGAATCACAGACCTGTACCCCTGAAACAAATAATACATTATACGTTAATAAAAAAAATTTAAAAAAAAGAATCATTAACCTTAGATAAATTCATATATAGAAGAAGAAACTTGCCAGGAAAAACTGGCAGAGACCTTCCAAACCATGTATTTTAGTCATTCCTGGGGGAATCAGTGTCCACCACAGTTTCATTTACAAAGGATGGCACCGGCCAGATCTGACTCTTGTGTGGTTTAAATAAATAAGACCCATGGGTGCCTGAGTGGCTCAAAAAACAACAACAACAACAAACAAAACAAAAAACAAAAACAAAACAAATGTAGCTCTTAGAAGAAAACAGAAGTAAATCTTCATGACCTTTCATTAGGCAATGGTCTCTTGACACCAAAAGCACAAAAGAAAAATAGACAAACTAAACTTGATCAAATTTAAAATTGTATGTTATTTGTCAATTATGTCTCAATACAAAATTTTTAAAATTTTGTGTGCAATTGAAAAATGAAAAGACAACACAAGGAGTGGGAGAAAATATTTACAAATCATATATCTGATAAGGGACTGGTATCCAGAATATATAAAGAACCCTTATAATTCAGTAATAAAAAGACAAATAAAACAATTAAAAAATAGTCAAAGGATTTGAATAAATATTTCTCCGAAGAAGATATACAAATGGCTAATATGGACATGAAAAGATGCTCAGGCTCATTAGTCATCAGGGAAATGAAAATAAAAACCATAGTTATGTACTACTTCATACCCAGTAGAGTGGTTATAATTTAAAAAAAAAAATGGTGAAAAGATGGACTTTTCAATCAGTGGTGATGGGACAACCAGACAATAAGGCAAAAAGTACAGTTTGACTCTTTACCTCATACCATACTAAAAAATTCCAAATAGATTGAAGACTTAAGTATGAAAGACAAACAATAAAACTTTTGGAAGAAAATCTTGGAAAAAATCTTTATGATTTTAGGACAGGAAAGGTTTTTTTTTTTTTTTAATTTATTTTGAAATAATTTTAACCTTGCAGAAAAGTTGCAAATATGGTACAAAGAATTCTCATATACCCTTCATCTAAATTCCCCAGATGTTAACATTTTGAAGTATTTGATTTATCATTCAGAGAGGAATTTCTCAATGCAAAAAGGCACAAGTCATAAAGGAAAAGATTAACAGACTACATTAACACCAGCAATGCCTCTTTATTAAAAATAAATAAAATATAAAATGTGAAAAAGACATACTACAAACTAGGATAAAAACACATATAAACAATATATAGGGGCGCCTGGGAGGCTCAGTCGTTAGGCATCTGCCTTCAGGGCTCAAGTCATGATCCCAAGGTCCTGGGATGGAGCCCTGCATTGGGCTCCCTGCTCAGCAGGAAGCCTGCTTCTCCCTCTCCCACTCCCCCTGCTTGTGTTCCTTCTCTCGCTGTCTCTCTCTCTGTCAAAAAATAAATAAAATCTTAAAAAAAAAACCCAATATATAAACAAGGTACAAACCTTGTGGTAGAACTGAGTGATAAACACAAACGTCAGCATGGTGGTAGTTTCTAAAAGGGAGCAGAAGAGAATACAATTGGGACACAGCTCACAGACACTTTCAAGGTAATGATTATATTCTGTTTCTTAAAATGGGTAGTTGGATACCACCTCACACCCATTAGGATGACTACTCTTAAAAAAAACAACGGAAAATAACAAGTATTGGTGAGAATGTGGAGAAAACGGAACCCTGTTCTCTGTTGGTGGCAATGTAAAATGGTAGCTGCTATGGAAAACAATAGAGTGGTTCATCAAAAAATTAAAAATAGAATTACCATATGACTCAGCAATTCCATTTCTGAGCATAATACCAAAAGAATTTTTTATGTGAAGTGGTTTCGAATACATGACTTGGATTTAAGAAAATTAAAATGGGTTGTTAATTTCTGGCTCAGTATATATAAAGATTCATTTTCAATTTTGGTATTTTATAATATAGTAAAATACCTTGGTTTAGGTGTATAACACTGGTTACCTATAGGTACTATTAAAGTAATAAGAGGACAATTTAGTTGATCTTAAAAAATGTTTATTTTACACTTCCTGAAGCTGGCAGTCTCCACGCTCAAGAGTCCAGAGAACTGCAAAGTAAGGGGACAGGGCTGTAAGCTCTTATAGAAAGAGGCAAGCAGGAAACCAGGAAGAAGTACTTAGTTTATGCTGATTGGTTGGGTTTGCATATCTGACGGTATTTAGAAAGATCAAGGAACAGGGAAGTGAGTATAGCGCCCAAAGTTGGCTTGGTGTTGGGGGATTGGCTGACTGGATATATTGTTTCTGATCAAGTGCAGTGTTTATAGGGACATAAAAGTTATATAGGTTTTGGTTTGCTGACATGGCACCCTGGGCAGTAGCAGCTCTATCTTGGGCCTAGAAATTTATTTCAGTGATACAAATCACTAGAAATAATTTGCTACGTTGACCTACCCAGCTGTATCAATTGTTTATCTGTTGTATATTTAGGTTTACTCCTCTAAGCTATTTGTAGCAGGAGCCTAGAAACTGAATTTCTTTCACCAACTTCATGCATCTCTGTTTATTAAAGATGGCAGAGGAGTTATGGATGTAACTGTTTCCTAACAACCATCAGGGTGTTATGGCACGTGTTCCATTCATCCTCATTTTTTATTTAAATAACAGGCTAGTTAAGGATCTTGAAGAGAATTATAGAGTTTTATGATCTGCTAATGTATTATGGTTCAATAGTATTATAATTCTTTACTAGAACTTTTATAAATGGGCATAGTTTGAGATGCAGAGTTTCCAACAGATATAAAAGAGTTTTCCTCTTTTAGGTAAAAAAGGAAGAGAGCGTCTCCTGGACCTGATCGCCACATTTCTGGTGCTACAGTTTCTTCGCACCAAGTTGGAACAAAAGGGAATAGTCTTCAGATCACTGATGAAATTGGATGATGCTTCCATTTCCAGGTGGTTTTAATTATAGTATTAAGCAACTGGCTTATATTTCTGACCATTTCTTAACTGAATTTTGCAAGAAGCTACATGGAATTGTAAGAACAAAGAGAATTTATTCCCAGGGAATATCTTGCCTGCACTCTTCTGTCATAGGCAGGGCAGATGCAATATTTTGCCTCTTGGTTTCCATGAAAAACCAGGGCTCAGAATGTTTTAAGTGTAGCTTACACTGGACCTCAGATCTGTGGCTCCTGATTTAGTATTCTTTTCACTATGGCCTATTGATTCTGTGTGCTTTTGGAAAATCCACAATATGACTGTTGGGACCAGACCTGTTCCCAATAAATTGCAGGGCCTGGCACAAGAATATAGATGGAAACCCACATACTGTATGTCTAAGTATTTAAAAGTTATAAATCAGGGGCGCCTGGGTGGCTCAGTCTGCCTTTGGCTCAGGTCATGATCCCAGGGTCCTGGGATCGAGCCCCGCATTGGGCTCCCTGCTCTGTGGGAAACCTGCTTCTCCCTCTCCCACTCCCCCTGCTTGTGTTCCCTCTCTCGCTGTGTCTCTCTCTGTGTCTCTCTCTGTCAAATAAATAAATAAAATCTTTAAATAAATAAATAAATAAATGTTATAAATCAAACTAACAAACTGTTAAATAAAACACATTTTAAAGTCCTGCCTTGACAAATACAAGTTCTTGAAGACCGAGTTCAAATTTAGAATTCTGTGCCCACTTGAAGTTTGATGCCATAATATGACAATGTAGAGAGGGCCTGTTCTGGGGCCCTGGCTCCTAGTCCTTGGGCTGACCTCTGGCACCACAAGAGGCCTTGAGGCACATGTGAATACCCTCTTTACTTACAAAACTCCATCCATACCCCACGCAAATGGTCACCCCTTATGTGTGTGCATATACACACAATATACATATATATACATATACATACATACCTATATAATTTGCTTGTGATTTTTTCAAAAAGGCAAGATTAGTGGGAAAACTAGCAAAACTAATAAAATATTATCTATAGGGGGAGGAAGAGGAGACAAGGTTAGAAGCTAGGTTTCTCCTAATATACTTTGTTTTACGTTTTTGACTTTGAAACTAGGTAAATATTTTGCATAATAAAGACCAGATACCAGAGAGAAGAGATTGAATATGTTAAATTATACCATGGACTGCCATCAGCAGTGTCTGGAATGTGAGGAAATAAATGGCAAAAGGAAAAAGAGGGGAGGAGTGGAAGCTATAAATTAAAGGACACATGGCCCGAAGGCAATGTTAGGCCTACTTTGGATCCTGATTTGAACAAAATGCATTTTATTAAAGGGAGAGAGAGAGAGATTGAAAATTAAGCAGGGGGAATGGGAGAGGGAGAAGCAGGCTACCTGCAGAGCTCGATCCCAGGACCCTGGGATCATGACCTGTTTTAAACATTACCTGGATATTTTGTGATATTAAAGAATTATTTATAGCTATTTTAATGTCATGTTTAAGAAAAAGTTCTTGTCCCTTAGAGATACATATTTACAGATGAAATTAAAATAAATAAGCAGACCTATTTTTACCCTCTCACAAAGACTGATTAAATTCTCAATTCGCAACAGCATCAAACACAAAATAGGTACTCAGAAAATAACAAATTGAGCATTTTACCGTACTTAATTTATACTTCCATTTTTAAGAAAAGCAGCACCTTCTCATGGTGAGAAAGATGGAAATTTATTAAGTGAATATCAAGAAAAATACTTCAAAGAACTAGTAGACAGGACTGACAAGTTAATATTTGATTTAATAAGCACAACCAAAGAGGCATTTCTTCTATTTAGATCTTTTTCAACTGAGACAGAGGGAAGAGAGGCTTAGGAAATAAGTTGACCAAAGTAAAGCCATTTTGATTTTTAGGCTGATCCTTAACCTAAAAGTCAGCAGGTAACAAGCTACAACTCATGGAAGACCACAAGACCCCACGCCCTCCAGCAATAAAAGTCATAAAGACTGGACATTCCTAAAATTGCTCCTGTGGGTAATTCTACAACTCTAAGACAATGGAAAAACTAACTGCCCAATGTAAATGTTAAACCCAAAGTTAAAGAGTAAGCCCCTCCTTATATGGTTAGCTAAAAAAAAGACAAAAAAAACCCTTATAAAACCCTTTGTTAGAGGCAAGGGTTGGGGGCGTTGGTCCTCTTCCTCCCCTGGGAAGAGAGGCCACTATTCTATCTGTGAAGTAGTTCCTTTCTTACTTGTATACTTACTAAGTCTTTGTCCCTTTCTCTACATGGCTTGCTCTTAAATTCTTTCTCTAGAAGAGCCAAGAACCCTCTTGGCGAGGGGCATAAGGCCTTCCCTCTTGACCTGTCTGGCATCACAACTATGATAGCCATTAAAACAAGTATTAATAACTTTGAACCTACTCTTGAATTGCAATATCACAAAGTATTATACCAAGATTTTAAAAAATAATGAAGTATATTCCATCACATTGCTCTTATTATATGACAGTTATTATGAGAGCAAAAAGGTTTGTTGGCACTTTAATGAACTTTTAAGTAATCTTTATTTCCTGTTTATTGCATATTTAATTTATAACTTTTCTTTTTCTGCTTCATGATGCACATAACATTAATACAGTAGCACATTGTATGGAGGAATATGAACAAAACCTTCATACTAGTGGGATGGTCAGTCAAAATTTAGAGGCCAGCTAAAGGAAAACCAGTGGAATTAGTGAAAATATTTAAAATTAGTTTTGTTGCTTTCCATAGTTCATAACTATAAGTAGACTAATGATTACTGGGAAACATGTCTTTTTTTTTTTTTAGATTTTATTTATTTATTTATTTGACAGAGACACAGCGAGAGAGGGAACGCAAGCAGGGACAGCGGGAGAGGGAGAAGCAGGCTTCCCGCTGAGCAGGGAGCCTGATGCGGGCCTTGATTCCAGGACTCTGGGATCATGACCTGAGCCGAAGGCAGACGCTTAGCGACTGAGCCACCCAGGTGCCCCGGGAAACAGGTCTTTTAACCACTTTGGACGTGCTTCCCATTTAGTATGTTTGTGTCATCATGATATTCATCTGATATCTATTGATTGCCTACTCTGTGCCAGGGACTGTTAAGCCTGTGAAATCCATGTGTTTTGCTAATCCCCACAACAAAGCCGTAGGAGCTCATGTTATTATCATAATTGAGGAAACAGAGACTTCCAGTGTTGAATGAAGACTGCACCATATCACACAGCCAACATTGTGTGATTTCAGTCAGGATTTGAACTCAGCTCTTAGCCACCACAGTATACTGATGACCCTTTCCCAGTTCACAGGGAAAAAAATCAAGAAGATGGAGAGAATTTTCCAAATTTTTAGTTCCCCCCATAGAATTTTTTTTAAACTCTAGTATATGTTACCACTTGCTTGCTAATAAATTCTAGCAGGTGACAAGATAAATGAGGAAGTAGCTAACTAGCATTAGTGAAAAATCTCAGAATTTTTGAGTCTTGAGTAGACTTTTGAATATTTGACAGTCTTGTTTGATATCATCTTATGCACACAAACTTGAAGTTTTTTTTTTCTAATTTTAAGATTTTATTTATTTATCTGAGAGAGAGAATGGGAGACAGAGAGCATGAGAGGAGGAAGATCAGAGGGAGAAGCAGACTCCCGCTGAGCAGGAAGCCCGATGTGAGAATTGATCCCTGGACTCCAGGATCATGACCTGAGCCGAAGGCAGTTGCTTAACCAACTGAGCCACCCAGGCGCCCCACAAACTTGAAGTTTTTATGTTATGCACAGTTTAGTAGTATGTTGTTCCTGATTTGTGTGACAGAATATATGGCTGTTTCATGGGTGAGTCTTAGGCATTTTTCTAACTAATCAAATTGAGAATTCCTGGTACAGTAAAAAGGAAAGAAAAATAGAAACCTGGTTTGTAAAATAGTATTGAGTTTCTACTTGAAGAATGGATGGATTTAGATCAAGAAGAATGGAAAGGGGATGACCAAAAAAAA